TGGCTTCTGGCTGAGTGGCGCTCCCCCATGGGGGCGCACTGACCACCAGGGGGCAGCTCCACGGGTGGTCAGTGCGCATCATAGCGACCGGTAGTTCCGCTGTTTGTTTGATTTGCATATTACCCTTTTATTATATAGGACTGGAGCCCAGATTCAATCATTCGTTCAGTGGATATCCTCGAGTACCCATTGAGAGTTGGGTGGTGCTGGGGACACAGCAGGGACCAAGACAGCCCGGCTCTGCCCTCCTGGGGCTCCCAGTACAGTGTGGGAGACAAATTAGTTCCAGACAGTTGTGACTCAGATGGGCTGGGATGGGGGTCCAGTGGGGGCACCTGACCTGGCCTGGGGATCAGGGAGGGCTTCCTGGAGAAGAGAGCAACAGAGCTCATGTGTGAAAGATGGGAGACTGAGAGAGGCCGGTAGGCATGGGAGAAGGGACAGAATGCAAGGGCGGGGGCGGCAGGGCCTGGTAGAGCAGGGCAAGAAAGCCAGGCTTTCCCTGAGGGCACTGCGGAGCCACAGGACGGTTTTGAGCTGGGGAGGGCAGGATCAGGTTTGTGCTTAGGAAGACCCCGTTAGCTGCTGTTCGGGTGGGAGAGGGGAGACTGGAAGTGGAGGGTGGGGTTGGGGAGGAGAGGCATGCCTGGCAATCGGAAATGAAGCTCAAACACCCAGCAAGGTGCTGGGGGAGGGCCGGGCAGGGGGTGACGTGGCCTCACCCGGGAGACGAAGTCCTGCTCCAGCTTCTCCATCAGGAGGTCCGCTGGCTTCTGCTCGTAGGCCTTGTAGGTCTCCAGGTACCGCCCGGCCTCCTCGGGGCTGGGGTGAGAGGACATTGGGGTCAGCCAGGGTGAGGAGGGGTGATGTTTTAGATTCATTTCATTATGGTAATAATTGCTGATGCTAAAAACTTCAAGCTCTAATCTATAGGAAAATGAACAGCTCTAGCCAGTTTGGCTCAGTGGATAGAGCATCCTGCGGACTGAAGGGTCCCAGGTTCAATTTTGGTCACGGGCACATGTCCGGGTTGAGAGCTCCATCACCAGTAGGGGGCAAGCAGGAGGCAGCCAATCAATGATTCTCATCACTGATGTTTCTATCGCTCTCTCCTCCCTCTTTTGATTTTTTACAGAGAGAAAGGGAGAGAGATAGAGAGCCAGAAACATCGATGAGAGAGAAACATCGACCAGCTGCCTCCTGCACATCTCCTACTGGGGATGTGCCCGCAACCCAGGTACATGCCCTTGACCGGAATCGAACCTGGAACCTTTCAGTCCGCAGGCCGACGCTCTATCCACTGAGCCAAACCGGTTTCGGCAATAAGAAATATTTTTTAAAAGAAAGAAAGAAAAATGAACATTCTCAGCCTCCTCTAAATGCCCCTGGGTATTTTACACATTTTTTCTGGCTAAAGACCAGAGCTTGGGGACCCTGACCAGTTGGGTTCAGGGCTCACTTCCCACATGAGTGACCCTGAGCCAGTGATTTTAACCTCTCTGGGCCTCAGTTTCCTCATCTGTCAAGTGGGCTGGTGGCAGAACTGTGACAGTTCAGTGAGTCACCGCTCTGTCAGGGCCTGGCATGGAAGCCTGTTCAAGAACTGTCAGCTATTCTGGAAGGGACGCCAGCGCCCGGACCCTTTGCTGCGGGTTTGAGAGAGGAGAACCAGAACTGCTGTGTATTTTCCCACCCACAGGAAGACAACCTCATGAGCATTCAGCTTCCTACCACCAAGAAAAGCAGCTTCTCAAAGGGTTCCTGTACAGCCCACCTTCTCCTTGGCTGGGTAGCTAGTTGGTTAGAGTATCTTCCTGATATGCCAAGGTGGTGGGTTCGATCCCCAATCAGGGCACATACAAGAAGTAACAAATGCATGTATAAACAAGTGAAACAAAGCAATGTTTCTCTCTCCCGCCCCTTCCTCTCTAAAATCAATCAATCAATCAATACATTAAAAAAAATAAAGCCCACCTTCAAAAGAAAAGCTCAGCCCTGGCCGGTTTGGCTCGGTGGATAGAGCGTCGGCCTGAGGACTCAAGGGTCCCAGGTTCGATTCTGGTCAAGGGCATGTACCTGGGTTGCGGGCACATCCCCAGTAGGAGATGTGCAGGAGGCAGCTGATCGATGTCTCTCTCTCATCGATGTTTCTAACTCTCTATCCCTCTTCCTTTCTGTAAAAAAAATCAATAAAATATATATTTAACAAAAGAAAAAGAAAAGCTCAGAGTGCTGACTGCTGAATCCTTTATAGCAATAAACATGATTTAATAATCACCATTAATTTTGACATTAGGCCCAGTTTTTGACACGTAATTAACTTTCACACAGTGGAAACAGCTAAATCATAAAAAGGGTCTATATGTGCTGGCCTTTTTCCTCTGGAAATTGAGACGAATGAACTGAGTCGAAGTAAAGTATTTGTCTTGCATTTTCTTAGCCTTCAAAATCCAGCTAGTAAAAATGTTGATTAAATGTCGATTGTACTTTTTATTCCATTCTTGAAAGAACCGTTCATTTTTCTAATTCTTCGGGATATTTTGCAGCCATTTAATAAATGAGACAGCTCTGTCTTCTAACGTGGAAAGATGTCCTGGCCGAAACCGGTTTGGCTCAGTGGATAGAGCGTCATCGGCCTGCGGACTGAGGGGTCCCGGGTTCGATTCCGGTCAGGGGCATGTGCCTGGGTTGCGGGCACATCTCCAGTGGGAGATGTGCAGGAGGCAGCTGATCGATGTTTCTCTCTCACCGATGTTTCTGACTCTCTATCTTTCTCCCTTCCTCTCTGTGAAAAATCAATAAAATATATTTAAAAAAAAAAAGATGTCCTGGTTATATTGTAGAATGCAAAAATGAAAGCAAGTTATAGAACTGGATCCAGTGTGCTAACCTGTGTGTCCTGAACAAATGTCATTACAAGAATAATAATAATACCTGCTGCATAGAGAGAAAAGCTGCAAAGCCCATTTTATGGAAAAAAACCCTCCAGCTCTACACTCTGCTACTTCCCACACAACAGAGGGATTTTATACTTGCTTTTGCTTTAATATAAACTAATACATAAATACATTTTTTCCAAATACTCCCACAGTATAGAGGTACATACCGGAGGGAAGGCACAGAGTTACAAATATCCTTTGGCCTAAAAAACCCATTCCCCTGGGATTCAGGACAGAAGTAGGAGTGTTGGTGGTAACAGCAAAAGACAGAGCCCACCCCAGTGTCTACCAATAGGGGTGGACCTGTCCCATCTACACAATGGGATAGTTTAACAGCTGGGAAAGAATGGGGATCCAGACAATGAGATATGATTCAGTGATTAAAAACAAGTGACTGCCCTAACCGGCTGCTCAGTGGTTAGGGTGTCAGCCTGCAGACTGAAGGATCCCGGGGTTCAATTCCAGTCAAAGGCACATACCTCGGCTGCAGGCTTGGTCCCTGGTACCAGCCAGGGAGTGTGCAGGAGGCGACCAATCGGTGTGTCTCTTTCACACTGACGCCTCTCTCTCTGTTTCTCCCCCTCCCTTCCATTCTCTCTAAAAAAACAATGGAAAGAATATCCCCGGGTGAGGATTAATAACGACAACAACAAAAGTGAGTTACCAAGACATGAGAAGACATGAGGAACCGTCAGAGCTCAGTGGAAGGAGCCAATCTGAAGAGGCGTGAGGGATAGAATACAATCTAGGCTGGTGTCTGCCCTGGGTTCCTGGGACAGAGCTCCGAGACCCTGTGAGTTCTTAAGTGACAAGAGCCCGGGGCATCTTGTGTTCTAACGAGGTGACGGTGGGCCCCTGGGTGGGGCTGGTCAGCGGAAAGTCCAAGCCATGATGAGGAACCTGGAAGTTTCTGCCCCAGCCCGACCCCATCCTCGGGGGACGGAGAGGGGCTGGGAGGGAGTTAATCATTGATGGTGCGGACGTGCGGGAGCTTCCTACTCTCTCAGAAGCACGGGGTTCAGAGAGCATCGGGGCTGGTCAGCACATCCACCCCAGCGGCGTGACTCACGCCCTCTCCACGGGGACAGACAGTCCTGCACTTGGGATCCTCCCAGACCTCGCCCTCAGTCTCTCCTCACCCGGCTGTTCATCTGTCTCCTTTAATGACTGGTAAACAGCCTGGCTGGTGTCTCAGCTGGTGGAGCGGCGTCCTGTGCACCAAAAGGCTGCGGGCTCCGTTCCTACTCAGGCCTTGGTTTTGGCCCGATCCCCAGTCAGGGTGTGTTCGGGAGGCAGCTGATCAATGTTTCTCTCCCCACCCCCACTCCCCACTCTCTAAGATCAATTAAAAAACACATCCGCAGATAAGGACTAAATTAAAAAATAAATAAACTGGGAAACACAAGTCAGTGGTCCGCTGAGTTCGATGAGCCACTCCAGCAAAGTGTCAAACCTGAGGGGTCGTGGGGACCTCCCTCTATAGCCGCTCGGTCAGAAGCACAGGTGACGGCAGCCGGCGCCTGGAGAGTGTGTGGGATCTGACTGTCTCCAGATAGATGGCGACAGGATTGAGTTAAATTGTAGGAAACCCGAAGGGTCCCAGGTTCAATTCCGGTCAAGGGCATGTACCTTGGTTGTGGGCACATCCCCAGTAGCGGGCATGCAGGAGGCAGCTGATCGATGTTTCTCTCCCATCGATGTTTCTATCTCTCTCCCTTTCTCTCTGTAAAAAATCAATAAAATATATTTGAAAAAAAAAATTGTAGGAAATCAAGCCGGTATCGCAGAGGATTGCTTGGTGTGGGGAAAACCCCGCACATTGAGTGGCCGGAAGTGGAGTGCTCTGTGAGGAGTGAAGGAGACAGGATAAAGACCCACAGTGAGGAGGAACTGGGGCTCTCCCGGCACAAGAGGGCCCCGGGTTTCTCCATGTCAGCTGTATACTCTCTGACTCCAGTAGGACATTCTGGAAAAGGCAAACCGTGCAGACAGTACAAAGAGCAGTGGTTGCCGGGGCGCAGGGGAGGGAGGGATGACGAGGGAGAACACGAGGTACTATTGTGTAGGGCAGTGAAACTATTCTGTAAGCTTCTGCCCCGCCCATCCCACAGACAGAGAGGGGCTGGAAATGGAGTTAATCATTGGATGCAGGAATTTTGGACGCAGGTCACACCTCTGTCAAGACCTATAGAATGTACAACACAATTGTAACAAATGTATCACACTAATACAAGATGTAAATACTAGGAGAAATCCTATGTGGGAACTCTATACTTTTTTTTTTTAATTGACTTTAGAGAGGTGGAGGGAGCCTGGCTGGCATGGCTCAGGTCAACCTATGAACCAGGAGGTCACGGTTTGATTCCCCATCAGGGCATATGCCTGGGTTGCAGGTTTGGTCCCCAGTGGGGGTTGCAGGAGGCGGCATGTGCATGAGGCAACCAGTTGATGCGTCTTTCTCACATCTCTCCCTCTCTCTCTCCCTCTCTCCCCCCTCCCTCCATTGACCTATGAACCAGAAGGTCGAAGTTTGATTCCAGTCAGGGCACATGCCTGGGTTGCAGGCTCGATCCACAGAGTGGGGTGTGCAGGAGGCAGCAGGATCAATGGTTCTCTCTTATCATTGCTATTGATGTTTCTATCTCTCTCTCCCTTCCTCTCTGAAATCACTAAATATATATATATAAATTTTTTTTAAAGAGAGACAAATGGAGAGAGAAACATCGACTGTTTGCCTACTGCCTGCACCCCAACCGGAATGGAACCTGCAACCTGGGCATGTGCCCCGACTGTGATCGAACCCACCACCCTTTGGTGCACAGGACAATGCTCCAATCAACCGAGCCACACCGGCCAGGCAGAAGTCTGTACTTTCTGATCAATTTGTCTATAAACTTAAAACTGCTCTTCAATAATAATGTGTACTGATCTTTAAAAAATGTGGATACTATATTGGACTACTGCACAGCTATGAAACAGAATGAGGCTGCTCTCTACACGGACATGGAGAAGACCTCCAGATGATGACACCGCAAGGCACAGAGCAGTCTACGGACAGTGCCCAGCGCCCTGCTCCCACTTCGACTTGTCGACTTTACAATGCGCAGAAGTGATGCACACCCAGCAGAGACCGGCCAGGCTGCCACGCGGTTCTGCAGGGGCAGTGTATTCACTGCATTTCACCTGACGGTATTTTCAGCTTACAACGGGCTGATTGGGCGGTAACCCCATCGTAAGCAAGGAGCGTGTGTACGCAGTATATGCTACGTCTGTCTAAGAAAGGAAGGAACAGATGTTTTTGCACATGCTGCTTGTGTTTTATAGAAACAGTGAAAGGGAACTAAGAAACCAACAACAGTGGGAAGGGGAGGAGACACTTCTCTGTATATACTGCTGATTATATGTGTGTGGCCAGATTATTATGACCACCCCATCAGCACAATGAAGTGAATTAGTTATGCAAATAATAATAAAACCTTGAGAGTATTTGCTTAGGAAGTTTTCAATATTGAGTATTTTTGGAAGTGTCAATGAAGTACTGATGGGGTGGTCATAATCATCTGGCCACTCAGTGTATATGCAGTCTATACATATACCCTTTCTAGATCTCTTCTGAATTTTGAACTACATGTTACAGCCTGTGTCACTGCACACACAAGCAGGGATCATCAGCAAGTAGAAATTCCAAGTGCAGAAATTTGTGTGTCTATTTTCAGGTTTTTAAAAATTATTATTACTATTAAATTTACTGGGGTGACATCCTATCTAATAAAAGAGAAACATGGTAACTGGCGTATGACCGCTACCCTTCCCATTGGCTAATCAGGGCAATATGCAAATTAACTGAGAGCCAAGATGGCCGGCAGCCAGCAGCTGGAAGCTAACATGAGGCTTGCTTGCTTTAGTGACCGAGGAAGCCAAGCTTCCCTGCCTGCCTTGCCGGCTTCTCAGCTGCACTCTAAGCAACATTGTAACAAATATAGAAGCTAAACAAAACCCCCAGGCTTCAGCCAGCAGGACTGCAACATTGTTTCAAATACAGAAGCTAAACAAAGGCCAGAAACTTGCTTTCAGCAGTGGAGGTCTCATAGCTGGAGCCGAGCCTCAGAGCTAAAGTTGCCCCAGAATTTTAAAAAAAAAGGAAAAAAGGACATGTTGGGAGCTTTAGTCACCCGCCAGCCTAAAAACAGCCCTCAGCCCCTCACTCAGGCTGGCCAGGCACCCCAGTGGGGATGCCCATGCTAAAGGGGATGTGACCAGCTGCAAACC